AATATCATATAATTTTATAATTTTAGACGATATTATAATTATAATATTATCATAATAAAATTTTTATTGTTAAACTTTTTTTTGGTGCATTTTATTGTTAAACTTTTAGTTTTACTGCACTCCCACAAAGTCGGTCAACTAAAAAGAATGAACGTCTCATTAACTCAAAATGTTTACTCATGTTACCACAAAATTAATGAAAAACGATAGGCACTATCTTTAATAGCAATATATATTTAATGTATATAATAAATCCCTCCATTAATTCCCTTTAGAAAGATATAAAGAAATAATCGTGACTTTATTGTCAGTCTAATTTTTTAGGGTGTAGGGTTATTTAATTTTATACTCGTCCACTAAGGTACCACAATTCATCAACGAGCAGTCTAGTATCACTTCTCTCTCTCTATATATATATATTGTTTTTTATGAACAAAAGCAAATTTTATTCTCAAAGTGGTGCAAGGATATACCACCCATTACGGAGAAGATTAGAAAATAAACCTCCACCTAACAGAGCACTAACAGGAGCCCAAATCCGGAAAATAATATCCCAAAAACACAGCACTTTCCTCTAGATTGAATCATAATGTTGACAGATTTTCAGTTATCCTGTAGGCTTCATGCCAAATTAATTTACTTGATTAATGTATGGAATTTGAATGTCGCCTGGAAATGAACTTAAGTCATTTGTTTTTCTCTAAGGTTAATCTCTTTTGGAGAAGGTGTTTTTCCTTTAATGGTCAATATGTTTCTAGAGAGTTTATGAATATTGCACAAGTTATTTTTCTAATGGTTTTTAATAGTTAAATTGAAAAATAATATTATAAAAAGAAATTATAAAAGATTAAAACGTTTTGATAATTAAAATATTTAAATTATTTGTAAAATTATTTAAACATTTTTAATAAATTAATATATAACAAATTTATTAAAAATATTTAAATAATTTTATAAACAATTTAATATTTTAAATGTCAAAATAAATTATTTTTTATTTTAAAAAAACAATATTAAAAT